CAATTGTAAAATAGAATAAGTGAAAATAAAGCGAGAATATAACAGTAAAAAGTAATGCTAGTGAGGGTAATAAGTAATATCACACACGATAATGAAATATTGCACCTGAAAAAAATGCAAAAAAAAGGAGTTTATAGATGTGTTAATGTGGATTAATATATTTATACATATCCATATTACTTTCCCCCCAAAATATATTATATTTTTCTATTCAGTACATCCTTTTTCATTTAAATCTTATTTATTTATAGTTGAATTATTTAGTTTGAGTTATATAGTTACTTTCATCATTGTATTTTATTTTATTTTATTAAATAAACGAGTCCATTCATTAAGTTGAGCTGCTCGTCTCGGCGCTCCGGCCTGTGTGCTCGTGAACAGGCAGTGACCTCACGGCGCCATATTAAAATGCTCCCTCCTCTTTGCCTGTGAGATTGTAGCTTAGCTGCAGCAGCTAGCCGCCAGTCTGCTTTTTGCATCCACAAGACTGACAGAGGGCAACGACGTGATGGAAATTGACTCGCTTCAAGAGGCGCTCAGAGGTCACTTCAGCTTATTTCGTTGGATTTACTGCCAATTGAGACGACAGGATATATGAGTTTGTCTGAAATTGTTCTGGAATAAAAAAATATATATAAACGCCTTCAAGCTCGAGAGCTAATGTCGCTAGCTAGCTGCTATTCAAGACTAGCGTTAGCTAACGTTTTCACGGAAATGGTTAGCTGGCTGTTGAATACATTAGCCAGGAAAGAAAGCTAATAAAATATGACTCTTTCGTTTATCCGTACTGCCGAACTTGAACGTATTTGTCCTCAGTACTTGACAGTGTGCGCACCGATATGAAGTATGTGGTCAGTGTCACCGGCTATTCGTAGACAACTGTTTGCCGGCTACGCTGTCGCGGCTATCTTAACATGCTAGCCCGTGCGCTAAACTTGAGCTAGTTGTAGCTAGCAAGCGACCTAGCTAAATTGATTATGTAAATAGCTGTCGTTAATGAGACAACATGATTGTCTCCAGCCCAAGTGTCATCCGAGACCTACTAAAAGGCTTTATTTAACTGGCAGAAGTAGACGATCACTGCAGGTAGTCATGATATTCACGTTTTAAGACAGAAGTGTCAGAAGCTGTAGGTTAACATAGGGTAAATCAAAGCCTTTTTAGCTCTACTAGCTACAAATTATTGTTGATGTTTGTGTATTTACGCCTATTTTTTAATTTTGTCTCCTCAGACTTTGATAAGAAAGCAAAGAAGGAGGGATCTCCTCTTTTGGAACAGTTTCTATGCCATATTGCCAAAACTGGAGAGACCATGTAAGTGAACACTGCAGGCCTGAAACACTTCGTAGTCTTTACCGTTTCCGAAACACACACACACACACACACATTCTGTTATTTCTACATTGACAAATAATGAATTCATACTTTTTGTACATGTGCAGTTCAAAAGCCAGTTTCACAGTGGCAGACTTAGACTATGCTTTAGTTCTAACTAATGGTCAGACATGAGGAAGCTCAAAATGTGTCTGTTGCACAAAGTTTATGAGGTCATGACTATAAAAGGTTGACTGATTTGCATTTGATTTTATTTTCTTTTATTTGAATTAATTTGTGAAAGAGATTGTCACTAACATTTACCATGGAAATATAGGTTTAAAGCTAAGCCTTATATTTATTTGCATTGACCTAATAATTTAGTAATTTAGACTGGTCTGACACAATTGACAAGTATGTAAATTTTTTTCTTCCTGTATTCTGTCGTTGTATGCCGGATGTGTTGAGCCTCTTTCTAATATTTATCTGCCTTTCTTTTAGGGTCCAGTGGTCTCAATTTAAGAACTACTTTCTGTTTAAATTGGAGAAGGTGATGGATGACTTCAGAGCCTCAGCACCTGAGCAAAGAGGTCCTGCTAATCCCAATGTGGAGTCAGTTCCATTTGAAGACATGAAGGAGAGAATCCTGAAGATTGTGAAGGGATACAATGGGTACGTTCCCTGCTGATGTAGCACATTTTTTTGAGCGACAGGTAGTTGTAGGATAAATGGTGAAGTCAGACATTGAATCTCTGGCTTTAGATTATAAACACATAACCTATGACTGCTTGGCAGGATGTTATTAATCTCCAAGATGATACTTGATGTGTATGTGTACACAGTTGACACACGGTAGCGTCATCTGATGAGGCTTTTTATCAAGTTCTGACACCATGAAATACATTAATCAGACCTGTATGTATTTAGAACACTGTAGGTTCAGTTTGCAGCCTCCAGTATGGCAGTTACGTGAAACATACGACCTAAATGACTGATTATTTGTTTTTTTTGCATCTGTTATTGTTATAAAGGGCTGTTGGACATCGTATTTAAAACTGAAATGCTGATTACAACCCACTTGCAGATTTGTGAAGAACTACTACTGTACTATATGCTGTACTTCTAAATCCGGACTAGATTAACATTTCATCACTAAAAAGAAACTATCAGGGCCATGCAATTGCTGTATGTATGTTCGCAGGGTTTGCACTGGTCATAACCTTGCTAGATATGTGTTCGTGGAAAAAGATCTTTTTTTTTTGTTTTCTTATTTTCCACTTCCTGTTGATGTTGATATATGACTTGACATCTGCTGTGGTTTCTCTTTCCGTTTTTACATCCCTTAGTGCTCTACATATTGATCAGATGAAGGGACAAAGACCTTCTAAATGACACATGGCCGACTGACTCTTTTGCTTTTTTTTTAACTCTTCTAGAATCCCATTTACAATCCAGCGTTTGTGTGAGCTACTTACAGAACCCAAGAGAAACTACACAGGAACAGATAAGTTTCTTCGGGGGGTGGAAAAGGTAAGTGCTCAGCAGCAAAGTTGTTTTTCCTTTCTTAAAGTCTGTGTAGAGGTTGTCATGACACAGTAAACTAGTATGAAAATATATGGACAGGTATATGAAGCTAGGTTTCAAAATTATAAAAAAACAAAACAAGGTAGTTTTTGCTCTTAAATGCTGGGGACATGTCCACTGAAGGAGCTTTGACACAAGCCCAAATGAACTGTACTAAGCAGGGAAACAGATGTGAAATCCCAAATGTGCACTGTAGATACAGACTGCTTTCATCACTTTGCGTCTGGGGAGTGAAACCATTCAGTTCGGCCCCCATTTACTATTAACGGGCTGTCCAAGAATCTTAGTTGTCTCCGAGGAAAGTTTGTAAAACTTTCAGTGTAAAATGTTCACTGCAGAGGCGGGTGTCAGTGGTGATTCTCAGCTTTCTAACAATGTGAGTCTTCACAAAATCCGCCTGTTTTTTTATCTCTTTATTCTTCGTAAGTTGAAATATTTAAAAACGAGGATGCATTTGCTGGAGGTGACTTTGTTCAGTGTAGTAATTTGTGATAGAGAAGAATCACTGATGCTCTAGATCTTGTAATGTTATGGTACTGAGGGAGGGGTTCAGCTAAATATGACTCCCATGTGTCACTGATCAGTAATTTTGTGGCTCACCAAAAAAATGCCAAATATAAAAATAATAAAA